CTCTATTTTATAGTCACAAATATTGTACGCCAAGGCCGTTGCACACTGGTCGCCACTATTCAGATGTATAAAATTCTAGCTCTTAACTGTTTGATTTCAGCTTACAGTTTAAGTGTCCTGTACTTGGAAGGTGTTAAACACGGTGACCTGTAAGTCCTTAAGAGGTTAAATATCCTTGATGTATTCTGGATTCTATTTCGATTTTTTAATATGCGTTACTTTTTACCATATCATTAGACAAATTACAATATCTGGCATGCTGTTAGCTGTATGCTTTCTTTGTATATCAAAAGCAAAGGTAATTTGTGCCTTCGAATGTTATGTTCAAGTATATTCTACCGGTAGACATCCATTTGCTCATTATTAGTTCACCGTAATATGTTTTTTTTTTTAGCCTTTAGAGAAACTTTCTAAGCAACGACCGCAGAGCAACGTATTTAACTTTTATATCATACTTTCTATTCTTGGACAATTTGCAATTCATATTGCCTCGTTGATATATATCGTCGATTTAGTTTTTCATTATGAAGAGTATGTATATTTGTCTTCTTTTTTTTTTTTTTACCACCATTGACCATCTAACTTGATCAAACCATGTAGAAAGAAGGTAGTTGACTTGGAAGGTGAATTTGAACCCAGTCTACTAAATACTGCGGTTTATTTAATATCCTTGTCCATGCAAGTTTCTACATTCGCCATCAACTATCAGGTAAATCTAAAATCTAATTGCATTTATTTCATTCTTTTAATTAATAACACGATTATTTTTTATCTGTTAATAGGGACATCCCTTCAGGGAAAGTTTGAAAGAAAATACCGCACTTTATTATGGTTTGCTTTCTGTTGGTTCCGTTGCTTTATGTGGCGCTACTGAATTTGGTAAGAATTGTTTTTGGGTTTCATGACGCAAACTTCAGTTCGTGATACTTATGTTCACATCTTAATCCGGTAGTTCCTGAAATGAATTCAATATTGAAACTGGTTCCACTTAAGGATGAGGTATTTTTTTAAAAATATATATATATAATGTCACTAAACGGTGTATTTATGTGACCCTTTTTTCTTTTTTAAAATTCAGTTCAAGCTTCATCTCACTGCCACTATACTTTTCGACTTTTTTGGGGCATGGTTGATAGAATCAATATCTAAATTTTTATTTGCCAATAATAAACCTAAAGCTATTGCTAAACGAAATCCTAAAAAGATAGAGTCAACAAGGAATTAATTTATCAAGGACATTTCTGTGTCATTTCTGTATATTCATTTCCATCACGTTTTGAAAAATTAGTTATCGATTGTGATTTTACCTTTTAAATATAGAAAACCAATCAATGTCATTTGTTAAAAATCAAATCATTTTTTTTATTTGTGAATTTAGTCAATTATTTTACATGTTTATATTAAAGAGTTTATCTGATAATAAAACAATTCTTAAACACTGTTTACTCTTAGTTAATATTGTCAATCTGTGGCTAAACAGCGGTTTGTGACTAATTTCAACAATAAAAAATGCCTACGCATAACGAGGTGAAATAAAAATGGTGTTTATATAAATTTACAACGGATTTTTTAGTAAACAGAAAATTCATGTTAATAAAAAATAAAGAACTTGTTGCATTAACGTTATGAAATTTTTATTATTAAATTGAAAATAATATATTAAAATTAGCTTATTAAAAATTAATAAAGAAAAACTCATTAAAAATCTTTGTTATACAACGCGTTGCTATTCTATTAACTTTAGATCATATTTACATTATAATAAATAGAATTTATTCTTGAATTTTCTATTCTGCAATATAAAAAAAAAATTAAAATTAAAATTATATCAGATATGTCGAAATTTTTATTAAATACAAAAATAAAAAAATAAAAGAAATAGAAAAAATAATATACTGTATATGTACACACCCCTACCAAAAATTACTGGACGTCGATTAAATTACTTAATAAAACATAGTAAAAATCAAAATTTTCGTTCTATATTAAAGTTTATAATTTTATTAATAAAAAAATTTTTTTAATATACCAAAATAAAGGCAATTGATTGTATT